AGGTCAGATGGATCCTGGATGGCACGTGTCCTCTGTGACCAGGAGTGCCACAGAGGGGCCTTCCTATTCTGAACAGCTGGGTGCCAAGAGTGGGCCAAACGGGCACCCTTATAACAGAACAAATCGCTCACGAATGCCAAATCTGAATGATTTAAAAGAGACAGCCTTGTAATTTATGCTGGCATGGGGGGGTGGGGGTGGGGGGGAGACAAGACAGTCGGGAGGGGAGGGTTCAGGGTGGGCTGGGAAATGGGCTGGGCCAGGGTAGTAAGCCAGTATTTTCAGCTTTATGAAGGTGTGTGCAATATTGTGTGTGGAGGGTGCCATTTGGCTCCTCGCAGCCACAAATGCTAGTCAGGGATCTTAGAGCCTCGGGAGTTCCTTAGGGATCACCACTCCCCACAGGTCTTGTGTGAGAATGGATAGAGTGTGCCATTGAGGAAGAAGAACTTCTTGCCAGTTTCTCCCCGTTACATTCCAGCTTTAGTGCAATCTCTGTTGAACTTGGGGTAGCCAGGGTATGTATGTCCTGGCTGTGAGGGATAGAAAATTCATGTTGACCGATGCCCTTCCCACATATTTTTTTCTGACTAGACTAAATGTGGGGTTTATTGTAATCTAGGAGTATCCCTTTGAAGGGTTAGCAGATGAACTGTATGTCTTAAATTGTTTTCTAAGCTTCCATATTTGATAGGATTTGTAACATTTATTTATAATTAATATTGTACTGTTATAATCATACCTTTTATGTTATAATGTAAAGTTATTTTGAGCTGTTTGGAACATTGTGAAGCAGTGGGACAGCTACAGTAGTTTCTATAAAAACTAAACAGTAACATTTATATATTGCATCAGGAGTATTTTATTCTATATATATAAATATATATGGTAAATAACTGTCTGTTTTATAAATATATTCATTTAAAGAAAGTATCATTATGACACTATCTGCCATATTTTTATACATTTGTGATATGAAGTGAGTATTATACTTATAATAAAGGGAGTTGAATTGTGGCTACATGTGACTGTAACAGTATGAACTTTGCTCAACTTTTTGGCCCCAGCAGTAGCCTCTAGACATGATCCTTGGTAGCAGACAAATGCAGCATCTCTTTCCAGGCCCACAGGAGAAGAACGTTAGATAAGCCAGTAAGGATCCCAGCAGGCCTCACTTCTGTCCTCAGACACTTGGCTCTCATTTGTGTCCAGGGACATTAACTTGCACACGAGAGGATAGACAGAAGTGGTGCTCTTGGGTCTTTACAGAGAATGTGCTCTTCCACTTAGCATTAGTGTTAGAGTGTAGACCAAAGATTTGCCAGTGGACATTCCTTGTTGTGAGGTTGTAAGAGGCACCTGTCTGCGGATCTTGCAAACCAGCTCTTTGCTCCTGAATGCTGTCTGCCCTCCTGGAGATTCTTGCTTCCAGGTGGGATATGAGCTACGTGTATGGCATTTCTTCTTCTAAATGCTTTGTTGTTGTTGTTGCTCTTCTAATATATTTAAAAGGCTCCTGAAGCAATTCCAGATGTAGAGAAAATTGCTGTATCCTTTTTTCCTTCCTGGGACTGTCCATTGATAAAAGGTCATCGTGCACACCTATATATACATACACCTCATCCATCAGAACAGGACCTATCCTTCCCTCATTTGATCACTTTCGACTCCCGAGTTAGTATCAAGTATCATCAAGGCCTCTGGCCAGCAAGCATTATACCCACCTGTCTCTGGACCATCTTTGACAAAAATAAACACCTCAACACCATCATCTATCAATAGTCATAGTTTTGAAAGTAGTCTCTTAGCAATAAGACTTTTAGAGATCACTCCCATCCCTCAAAGAGGTAACTTTTCAGTATTTGCTACTTGTTCCAGAATTCTGAGAGTGTCAGTCCCCAAATAAAGTCAGCTGTCACTGAAATATGCTGAGTTACTGTTAACCCTTCCCTGAGATTTTAAGAATCGTAGCGCTGATGATTATGAAGATTATAAAGGTCTTAGATTCTTTGAAGCTTAAATTGTGTGCATATTGCATATTTATATAAATACTATAATGATGTGTATTGATTATATATAGAGGTCATTTTAAGGTGCTTTTATTTAATTTTAATAAGTATAATAGGCACTAAAATGAAACTCAACTGGGTACTATCATGGAAACAATTTGATTCATTTTGCATGCTCTTGAGTTCTTTTCCTATCTCGTTTCTGTTACCAGTTCAGTACTGTCTGGGTAGCTCTGAATTCTGGCTTTTCCCAGGCAACTCTTTGATTACCCAAGTGAGGTAGACCCTCAGCAGTTTTTGCCTGGATATAGTGACACTAAAAATGTGTATATTTAACTCTTCTTTTTCATACTAGATCTGTACCTTGTATCCCCTTCCCCCCCTTCCCCCTGCAAACCAGAAACTACATTTTGTTTCCTCTGGAAAGACTTCTCACTGTGCTGTGTGCTTAGGAACTGTGAGGTCCCATTGCCATGCTGTGGCATTAGTGGCTCGTCATCACCAAGGGGCTGGTTTCCCATGTTGTCATCTTTGCTAACACTGGGATCTCAGATGTTTGCAGAACATTTATATTCATGGTGGTTCTTCAAAGAAGGGCTAGAATAATTGCCTTCTACCTAGAACAAACTAATCCTAACTGATGAAGTCAATACTTACTTTTCCTACATTCCCAGATTTGAGCCAGAAAATAGCTACAATGTTTTCAACTAGTGTTTCTGAGCTAGCTCTTTTATCCTCTTCTTAGCTCTTGTCTGTTCTGACTTTTCCTTGATCCTCAATAAGCTGTAAGTGAATCTACAATCCCGTTTATTCTCTTCCTGCTCACAGATGGGGACAGTAACATTTCCTCTCAGATTGAATGGGTGGGCCCTCTCTTAGCTTTTAACTGTCACTTTCCCCTCTGGTAGGTCATTCATTGGCCTCAAAAAGATGCCATCCGTGGCAGGAAGGAGTTGACTGAAAGTCACAAAACCCCCACATTTTCTTTAGGAGGGGGAATTGATGACATCCATGTTCTGTTACCTGCCCTGACATCCTAAAGGACACACAGGTTGAACTGAAGGCTTATGGAGTACTTAGCATTAGGAAATCACTGCTGATCTTTTGAAAAGAACCTTGGCTCCGCTGTTTTTCTATTTTCTCTTCTCTATCATCCTCTTTTTTCTTCTCTGAAGTTCTAAGTAAACTTTAACTAATCTTTGTTCGGTCTTGACTGAAGTTTAGGACTTTCTCCAGAGCCCCAGACCAGAAGAGAGTGCCCCCTGCCAAGAGGCTCAAGTGAGTTGTCTCTACAGCAGTACTTCTCAGCCAAGGGCAGTTTTGTCCCCCAGGGCACAATTGACAATGTCTGGAGGCATTTGGTTGTCTTGGGCTGCTACCAGCATCTAGTGGGTCTCGCCAAGGATGTTGCTAGACATCCTCCAGAGTGTTCCGGCCCATAAACAGTACCAACATTTAGAAGTCTTGCCCAAGACCAGTCCAGGCAAAGCACTCGGCAGAACCTGCCTCTGGCCCTGGGCTTTCCAGGCTACCTAACTGCAGGAGTGAATTCCTCAACATCATATTCTCTTTAAGAATCCTCTACCGCTGTTCTCAAATCTTTACAACCCTATTGTTCATTTCCATTGTCTTGGACCTGCTAAAAGGTGCATACTTTGGGAGGAAACCAGAGTTACTTTACATATGTTTGAGAACTTAAATTCTAGGTTAGCAGCCTTAGGAAATCTTTCTTAGCCATGAGGCTTATATTTAGAAGCAAGCAACAGCCTGGCAGATTGGCATGATTTTTACCAACTGCTCAAAGGCATCATGGCTTTCAGCTGTGTCTACCGAAAGAAAATGTCTTTGTTTTCTTATTCAAGTCATTTAATAGCTCTTTACAAATATTAGCATATGGCAGACTGATTAGAAGCAAAACTCTTTATTGGTGGTTGTGATGTGGCTATTCTAGAAGTATTGTGCTGTATGCTTTGGTTAAATCTGTTTTAAAACATGCTTTAAGACTCACCATATGCAGTTGTATACTTTAATTCTAAGCAGACCTATGCTGGTCAGTCTCTAGTCATGCTGTGTATTTATAAAAGTATGTTGTGGTTGTAGATTTAGCCAGTTTAGCATGTTCCTAATCAGAAAATTAGTGGACTCCACTAGGAAATGCTATCCCATTTTCCCTTCCCAGTACCTCTTAGTTGATATCATAGTATCCTCACTTAAACTAGTCTTTAGAGTAAATAAGGGAAAAAAGCCATTTATTTTCTTCTAGCCATGTATTGAGAATAACTCATGTGTATAATTTTTTTTCAAAGGCCAGAGGATTACTTTTCCAGTGTATAGAAGGCTTTGTCCATTCTGTTCACCTAGCTCTTGGTGGTGACAGAACTTTTGGCAAGGACAATAAATAGCTCATTGGAAGTCACTGCTGGGGCTCAGCTGAGACTCAGCAAAACTACATCTCTCTTATGCTCAGAACCTATGTTCTGGGTGCCGTTACTTTTGCATCTGGAAGTTCATTACCTACTGCATTAGAGTGGGCCATTGAACTCCACTATGTGGGTGTAAAGATCTATAGATGCCTACTTCTGTGAACTGGGACTGTGGTATGTTTAACTAATCCTTGCCTTCTTCAGTTCGTCACTAATCAAAGTTCATTGAAGCTCATTTATTAAGAAATAACAGTTCTGGTTTCTTGAAAAGCGACTGCAGAAAAGACAGTACAGATGTCACTATTCCCCGGGACCAGACTCTTAGGAGAAGGTCCCTACCAAATTATAAAAGGACAGATTACCAGAAAATAAAAAGCAAGTGAACAAAAAAATCCAAACTTGTAAGTGGTTGTGGTTTCCTCTTTTGCTTCTTGACCAGCTGAAATCTAGACTATCTTGAGGTCTGGTTCAACTGATTAAAAAATTCAATCTTGGAAACAATGAATGAGGAGACATGCAAGAAAATCAAGCCCCTTATCTGTTTGTATACACCCGAAGGGAAAAGCCAGGTGACTAGGAAACTCTGGGCCTATTGCCCATGCGATTCTTTTTTTTTTTTTAACTGAATGTAGCTATACAAGATGGTAGACTTTGTGCAAACCAGTTACTTACATAAATCATCGTTGCCCACAGTGCTTTGTTAATTCATCAGCATTTGGCCTGGTCCCTACTCCATCGTTCTCCTCTCTGGGCATGACCCATCTTTCTTTCTATTTGCTGTAGGCTGTTAAATATGATCTTGACCTGCCTTGTATTTTCATTCAATTGTTTACTCCCACATTTAAGGGAGGGTTGTCTCTTGTTTTGCCAGAAAAAAATAAAATTGTCATAGTCTGTACGCTGGATTTATAGGGCCAGCAGAACTGCCAGGAGTGGAACTGGTTTCACTTCTAAGGCCCTTCATTTCTCACAAGGGTAAGCTCTCTCCACCCCCTTTGATCCTCGGTCCAATTGGTCCTCCTTGGGAATCTGAAATCAGTCTCCGTGTTGTATGCAGATTAGAAGTTGCCTTGTTTGCTGCTCTTCCCAGGCAGAGTATCAGGGAGAAAGAGGCCTTATCTGTCCCTCCGTGTCCCCTCCTGTTTGGCAGAGCTGCTGAGAATCCCTCAGGACTTCCTTTGGTTGGGGATTTCCCTTCCCGGAAGGCTGCTGTGAGTCATTTCAGGCATAGACAAGCTTGTCCTAGTGCTGTGCTTCAGGTCTAATCCGAAGAAACCCAGGAATCGAAAAGGTAGATGCCTTGACTTTTGTCCCTGTTCGGGGATTAAAGTGTTTCTTGCCAGAATCATCAAAAGCTCTGGTTAAACTCAGTAGAGTTTCGTGAGAAAGACGATGCTTTTCCTTCTGGAGAATGTATATTCTCCACACTGGCTACGATTTTCCAAAAGTGGAAAGTAAAGCTCGCAGAAAATCCATTTTCCCTAGGGATGACCAGTGGGTTCTAGTCACCAGTCTCTCCCTCTCCTTGTTTACTCTCTTGTCAGTGATGGAGTTGGGTTGGGGGAGGAGTGGCGATGTGGTGGTAGAAAGAAGTAAATTCTTACTGTAAACTTGCATTGATGAACAGAGACAATTAAGCCAAACAAAATAGTTACCCCAGAGTTCAAGCTCCAAGAATTGCTTTGTGCCATTCTGAATTCAGGTAGTTATTCTGTATATACTTAGACAATTATCAGAAACTTCTTCAATCTTTACTAAGTTTGAAGGGGGTAATCTGGGAAGGCACAGGACAGGGTAACATTGAGAGCCCTGTTCATTCTTAAATACAAAAATAGGGATAAGCCAGAGGGATATGCCATCTGATGTGTGGTAGATAAAGAATCAGTGGACATTCTTAATTGCACAGACTTTATAATTCATTATATAAAATGTATTCCATACTTTTTACTGTGGCAAGGGTGTGATGTGGTTGTTAATCTTTTTAATTTTTGAATCCAAACTGAATTTAAAGTGTTGAATACTTAAAATTCCTCACAAGCTAATTATGAACCATTTGTAAAGTGTTTCTATAACTCTTTGTATCATGTGTTGGTACATCTTATCAAGTTTTTTCTGGCATGTATTCCATTCTAAACTTCTGTAAAATTTCTATTGTTGCTGTACATATTCTACAAATATCTACTCCGTGGTAACCTTCATTAACAGCATGAAACAGTTAATTTTTACTGAGCACAATGTATTTTTGAATGGATCTTCCCACATGTCTTTAATAAAATGCAGATTTTGCACTGACTGATGTGACTGCCAGGCTTTCCCAATCTTGAACACTGTGGTCCTTCTTGCCTTTGAATACGAAAGCAGCTCCATTTTAATTCTTTCTTTGTAAACATGAATGTGTTTGAATTCAAATGAGGGGCAATGGGCCTTTGAAGTTGTAATCAGTTTCAAGGAGAGAAATTAATGTAAAGCAAAGCAAATCCTGTTACTTAAATGTTTTTTTTTTCCTATTTATAAAGTTCTTTTCCCCTTATGGCATTGTGAAAACCTTGGTTTCTTTCACACTTGAGTGTTGTCATCTGTATTGTTTGGTGCTTACTTGGTAATTTGAAGATGAAGAGAGATGCTAACCTGGTGTGCTTAGAGCTATGAAGAAAAGATGGTCAGCTCTGAAAGATTGCTTCTTGTTCTAGAGCAAGGGTTGGCACTCTTTCAGAAAGGTCAAATAGTAAATGGGCTCTGTGGGCCGTAAGAACTTGGTTGACTCCACAGAACTCTGTGCATACAGCACAGAGACAGCTAGATAATATGCACGAGCAGAGTTGACTGATGCCAGGTTTAGGCCAACCGTGCATACTATCCTGAGCCAAAGGGGATGCTACTGGACTACTCTGAGCCAAAGGGATGCTACTGGAGACAGGATAAATACAGTCACAGTGGCTGCACCTCTTCAGTTTATAACTGTGTACTTCTCAGTAGGGAGACAGAAACTTCAAATCCATGGTACTTTATATGTCAGTTATTCTCCAGTTTTAAATATCATTCTTTAAAAGGGGTTACGAGCTGAAACTCAGAACTCATCTTCTATGTGTCTGTCTGTCACTGACTGTAGACATGTATGTGCCACAGCAAGTGTGTGGAAGTCAGAGGGCCCTGTTTCATAAGAAATGGAAGACTAAAACAAGTGTATGGGGCTCTTTGTTTGTTTTGTTTCATCTTGGAAAGATCTTGTGTAGCTCAGGCTAGCTTTCAATTCACAATTATCTGAGAATACTCTTGAACTCCTGATCATCCTGCCTCCACTTCCCATGTTTATAGGCATGAGCTATCATGCCCAGCATAACAATTTTTTTCTAAAAGCTCACACCAATTCATGTGCCATCTTCCACTCTATCTCCCAGCTGGTAGTGACTTATTTGATTTAAGAATGAAACAGTGCCGGGCGGTGGTGGCGCACGCCTTTAATCCCAGCACTCGGGAGGCAGAGCCAGGCGGATCTCTGTGAGTTCGAGGCCAGCCAGGTCTACAAAGCGAGTTCCAGGAAAGGCGCAAAGCTACACAGAGAAACCCTGTCTCGAAAAACCAAAAAAAAAAAAAAAAAAAAAAAAAAAAAAAAAAAAAAAGAATGAAACAGTTCTTCAATGAAACAACTTATTGGACATCTAGGGATGCTAATGAAGTGGTTAAATAGACAGATGGCCTTAGTGGATTTATCACTTAATTCTGACATGACCTGAGGTAACATACTTACTTAGCTTCTCTGTGCCTCAGTTTCTTTGCCTTTAAATGGAAACACTGCTGGTATCTATAACATAGGGCTGTTGTGAGCATTTAATGAGATGCTGCCAAACATTTAGCAGAATTTTTGGTAAATGTTGGCTAGTATAACATCATGCTTTGTATTTGTGCCTCAGTTGCTAGTTCCCAAGTTGGGAAGGGAGGCTGGAGAGATGGTTACTAATTAAGAGCACTTGCTGCTGCTCCTCCAGAAGGCCTGAGTTCAGTTCCTAGTACCCACATTGTGTGGCTCACAACTACCTATAACTCCAGATCCAGATCTGGATATCCTCTTCTGGCTTCCATGGATGCATACATGCACACACATGCACACATTCGCTTTCTCTCTCTCTCTCTCTCTCTCTCTCTCTCTCTCTCTCTCTCTCTCTCTCTCTCTCTCTCAATCAATCGTCAATCTTAAAGAAACTGGGAAGAAATTTCACTGACTATGGAAAGCTGGCTATAGACATCTCTGTGGTTAGTATATTAGGTACATGTATTCTATTTGCTCTTCATATAAAAAAAACAGATCCAACTTAGGGCTGGTCTTGGACTTGCAGGGGAAGCAGAAGCCCTTATAAGGTGTTCTTCAGCTGTCCTCTCCCGCTGCACTTCATGTGGTCAGAGAGGTGGACGCTGTCAGCAGTCATTCAAAAGCTTCCTTATGGGATGTAGTCTTCTTGGCTCTGAAACCGGATTCATAGCAGCTCCTCTACTTTGAAATACCTTTGCTTTGTCCATATAACCTCCCACGTCAAGTACGAGGATCACTTCCAATTGTTTTTCTTAATAGAATTATTTAATGCTTCATAATTAATTAAAAGTATGCAAAATGTTGGGTGGTTTACTCTTTTGTTTTAATCCGCAGGCTGCTGGTGGAACTTAGTGGTAAGGCATTTGCCTAGCATGTATGAAGACCCTGGGTTAGGTCCTCAAAATCATAAAAAAAAACAATCCCCCACATATAGCCCAAAGTCAGGTATTAAAAATAAACAATATATGCTAAGATGGGAATGATTTTGCTCCATTATATAATTTTATTGAATTATACCCTAAAAGAAACGCTACTGCAAGCATATTTTTTGTCTAATAGCAAGATTGTTCGGCTTCAGGTTTCCTTCAATAATAGTTTAGTTTTTAATATATCCTGTCACAAATTTAAGGAAGTAAATAATCTGTGTGCTGTTGAAAGTAAATTAACTACAGGTACATGTTTTGCGGATCGTAGTGTCTCACTCTCTATTAAATTCTATAATTGTAAGCATTTTCCATTGTGAAACCCCTGGCTGGCCTCAGATATATTTATTTAGAAATTTAAGGAACTCAGAATAGCCAGGACAATCTTGAAAAAGACCAGAATAACTTCCTACAGTGCTATACAGTAATGGAGACTATAAAGTAATAAAATTAGGAGGCCTGAAGAAAACCCTCATATTCTGGGCCAGTTGGTTTTGGCAAGGGTACAAAGACTATTCATTAGGGGAAGGATTGCCACAGAAGGTACCAGGACAAATGCATATTAACATGCAAAGAATGGAATTCAGCTCATGCTTTAAAGCTGTCTCTTTTTTTTAAAGAATTCAAAACTTTTTGAAGAAAACACAGGAGTAAACCTTCTTGACTCTAGACTTGGCAGCAGATAATACACCAAAAGAAGTAACAGGGAAGTTGGACTTCGTTAAACTTTGGAATGTGTTGTGCTTCAAAGGACTTCACCAAGAGAGTTTTAAAAAAGAAAGGCCAGATGTGGTGACCCATAATCCCAGAACCTGGGAGGCAGAGGCAAAAGGATCTCGGCGAGTTCCGGGTCAGCCTGGTCTACATAGTGAGTTCCAGGCTAGCCAGGGCTACATAGTAAGATCCTGTCTCAAAATAACAACAAAAACAGGATGGAAGAGGTGTATTCATAAGAGAATTGTATGTAGATTATACAAAGAACTCTTAATGGATCAATGAATTGAAATTTTAAAATGGGCAAAGGGTCTGAATAAATGTGTCTCCAAAGGTATGCAAATGGTTACTTGAAAAGATACTCAACACCATTGGTTATTATGGAAATGCAAATCAAAATCAACATGGAATGCCACTTCATACATGCTAGGATGGATCTAATGGAAGACAAGAAGCATTGCTGAAGATGTGGAGAGATTGGAACCTTCATACATTGTTAGTGAGAACAGAAAATGGTGTGTGCAGCCACCTGGTAAAGTAGTTCTTCATAAGGATAAGCATGGAGTCACCAAGTGACCCAATAATTCTGTGTGTATGCTCAAGATAAAACATGTCCACGAAAAATTTACACACAAATATTCATATAGCAGCATTATTTTTTTTAACAGCCCCCAAAGTGGAAACCACCCAGATGAATGGCTAGATAATAATTGAATATCCCTACATGGAATGATATTTACAAAAAGGGAAGAAGTACTTCTCCAACACATGGACTTTAAAAACACGATAAGTGCCAGGCAGTAGTGGTGCACACCTTTAATCCCAGCACTCAGGAGGCAGAGCCAGGCAGATCTCTGTGAGTTCGAGGCCAGCCTGGTCTACAGAGTGGCATCCAGGTCCAGGACAGGCACCAAAACTACACAGAAAAAACAAAACAAAAAAAAAACACAAGAAAAAACATGATAAGTACAAGAAACCACAAACTACTGTATATCATAGAATTCCATTTATGTGGGAAAATGCCCAGAACAGGAAAAATCTACATACAGACAGCAAATGGTTTACAAGTAACCTAGGGCTGGTGTGGCTGATGGCTCAGGGTTGAGGATTCTCTCTGGGGTGATAAGAATAGTCTAAAGTTACTTGTGGTAATGATTGCACAAGTCTGAACATACTGTCATTGAATTATACACCTCAAATGGATAAGGGCTGTTTATGTGAACTTAATAAAACTATTATTAAATTTATGATGTGAACTGTTATTTGACAAGTCTTTATCCATGCCTCACACCCTTTTGTTTAATTTTTTCCCTGATCAGTACTCTTAAGTTATTGCCATTTTCTCTGACAATTACTCAGTGTGGTGAACAAAGTAATTCAGTTTTCCAAATAAGAGTCTGCTTTCAGGAATTTCATCCAAAATGGATTTGTACAAATGTTGCAATACTAGGAATGCCATTGTGCAATGCCACCCCCCCCCCACACACACACACACCTGTGAAACTCCAAAACACTAGGTAGGAAATTGGAGGCTTTTGAGAAGTTGTTCCATTCACTGAGAAGAATGTGACATCCAAGGTCATTTTATTGATTGATTGATTTTTGAGAGGCAGTCTCACTGTGTAGCCTTGGCTGGCCTGGAGCTTGCTCTGTAGACCTGGCCTTGAACTCACAGAGATCCACCTGTCCATGTCTCCCAAGTGCTGGGATTAAAGATGTAAGCCACCAAGTCCAGCCATCCAAGGCCATTTTAGTGTGGGTCCATGCAATCCCTTTAATATCTGGAAATGGAAAGTTATCTCAGAGAAAAGAGCTGCTAGCCAAGGCTACACAGTGTGTGTGAGGCCAGGCCCTTGTCTCTGGAGGGTCCTCATCCTGTGGATTGTCAGTTTCTCCCTACGTGCCTCTCCCAGAGATGGGCCTCAAACACAGCATGAGCTGTGTGGCAAATGAGACCAAGACCAGTAGTCATTCCCTCAGGCTCCAAAGCTCTCCGCTAAATGAGCTACTCCAGCCAGAGAGTGATGAGCCAAGTCCATTTCTACCCAAAGAAGTTTCAAATGCCATGTCAGGCAAGCATGTTTGAGTGGGCAAGGCAGAGGTAGGAGGGGAGAAGCATCTCAGAGAGAAGCTATAGGCTCTTCTTTTCCTGTGTGTGTGTGTGTGTGTGTGTGTGTGTGTGTGTGTGTGTAGTCCACATCGGGTGTCTTCTTCAATTGCTCCTCACTTTATTTCTGAGATAGGGTCTGTCAGGGAACCTGGAGCTTACTGATTAAACTAGACTGATCAGCAAGCCCTAGGAATCCTCCCGTCTACCTGCCTCCTAGTCGTAGGATTTACAGGGATGGCCCTCCATGCCTGGCTTTTTTTCTTGAGACAGAGTCTCACTGTGTAACCTTGACTGGCTTGGAACTGCTATGTAGACCAGACTGGCCTCAAACTCAGAGATCCGCTTGCCTCTGCCTCCCAAATGCTGAGATTAAAGGCGTGCGCCACCATACCTGTCCATGCCTAGCTTTTTACATGGATTCTAGGAATATAAACTCACCTCCGTATGCTTGTACAGTCAGCACTTTACTGACAAGCCATCCCCACACAGCCCTCTATGACATGAGCTCTGACCCCTTCCCACAAAGCATGGTCTCCCAGTAGTCAGAGAGATGTCTTGCCTCAGCTGTTTTCAAAATGTGTTCAATTTCTGGAAAACTGTAGCCATCAATAAAGAAGGTGTGATATAGTCTAGTCATTTGGGCTTCCTCTATGTAAGGGAAGCCTCACTACCCACACACATGCAGCCTGCTACTTGCATTCATTTCCTGGTAAGCACAGATGGACAGCTTGCTGAATGGGGTCGTAGACTGGAACTATATGTAAAAGGGACTCCAGCCGGCCCTAATTCCCTCAGGTCTATGGCTAAAAGCCCAAACCCCTTCCAGGCAAAAACAAGAGGGGGAAGCCTTGACTGGTCGGTCGGTCGGTTGGTTGCTGTTGACGGACTCTTGGGCTTGCTACAGGCTCCCCTCGGCTTTATTCATGCCTGCCTGCTTGTCTCCAGTCCTCTCTAGTCGGGATTTAATGAAAGTTTTAAGGGCAAACCTTCAGCATTCATGTGAGGCTTTGCAAAATTGTATGCTCCTGTTCTGAATGTGGTAAGAGCCAAAAAGAATTTTCAAATTATCAGAGCTGCTTTGTGTTCCCCCGGGTCTGCACCTTTGACAGTGTCACTGAGACAAAAAGAAAAAGAGAGAGGGAGCGAGATCAGCAAATTACCCTTGCTATTTAGGTTTATGGAAGAAAATTGGTTTGAGGGATATTTTCTTTGTTCTTATTTTCTTTGGCTGAGTTGAGGAAATGCTCTTTTTTTTTTCTTTCTTCCACTGAAATTGGAAACTATATCTTTTGAAAAATGAAATATTCCCTACCCAGATCTGAATTTGGAAGTGCTTATAAGCTCCAGCCCTGTTCATCACAATGGCATGTCAGGGGCCCCCCACCCCCACCAAGCTCTCCCCATTGTGGCAGGACTGACTGAGCTGAAACAGACATCAGGCACACTTGCTGGTACACTCAAGCAGCTCCATCCGGATGGCGATTCGGACATGCCAGCCGAGAGGGATCAGTCGGATGAAGCGGGAAATGATGGGGGGCCGCAGTAAATTCTGGACTGTAGAACTCCGGTCTGAGTTTCCGTAGAAGACCTAGACAGAGGGAGGAAGTCTGGTCATATAATATCCACACGCAAATGTGTGTGTGTGTGTGTGTGTGTGTGTGTGTGTGTGTGTGTGTGCTGCCATAGCCTTGAATGTGCCAAGCAAGCACTCTACCACAGTACCACATGCCCAGCCCACATTAGCTACATTTAAAGTGGTCAGCAACTCCACATGACCAGTAGTCACCATGGTGGCCAGTTCAGATATGAATATTTCTGTCATCAAAGATAGTCCTATTGGATAGTTGCTAGAATATGCCTCTTGACTCTTCACCACTTTTCCATTTTAATCCTTTACACTTCAACAGAAAAGTTTGAAAGGGTCCATCCCACACAAGAGAGGTGTTCACATGTTCTGAAGATATCCAGGATGCACTCAAGTCAAACCTGTGCTCTGAAGTTGGAAGGCAAAGCTTAAATGTGTGTTTCTACTTTGTTCCAAGTGACAAGTGCCTTTTAGGCTTGGAAAAAATATTTTTTACAAACAGACAAAAACTAGAGGGGAAATTCTGGCATGGAGAAGATGGTATTGACAAAGAGATAAAAGGTTCACTTGATGTTTTTCAGGAAGCAACGTAAAATGTTGCAGGTACTTGACATTTTCTGAATTCTTCATACTCTTTCCAGGGTCGTGGTGTTCTGCTCCATGACATAAGAGCGTTTCATTTCCTCCTGTAACTTTGTCCTAAAAGTATTTAACTGCTGCACTTAGCTTTATCCAGCCACAAAATAGGAGGGCCTTGTCTGCAGTGATCTTGCCTTTCTTCCTAGCAACAAGGCCTGAGCTGCCTTCTCTTTAAGCTGTTTGTCCTTGAGCATATTCAAGTTAGAAGGAGGCGAAGAGGGAGTTGATGGAATACAACCTGAGACTTCATGAATGAAGTGGAGTGTCTCCTTCAGAGCACCATCGAGCTCTTCACAAGCACAAGGCTTAACAAAGAATTCTAATGTCTTTTGGAGAATGTAACTGACTGGGAAGACCAGAAACTGAAATTAGGAGGTGCTGGAGGTATGGCCCAATTGGTAGTATGCTTGACTAACAAACACAAAGTGCTGGGTTCTGCTCCCAGCACCACATAAACTGTCCATGGTACATAAACCTATAATCCCAGCACTCGGGAGATGGATGCAGGCACTAGGAGCGGAAGTTATCCTCGGCCACATAGCAAATTAGAGACCAGCGTGGATACATGAGAGCCTGTCTCAAAAAAATAAGCATCAAATGGTTTTTCCCATTGTGTCAAACTCCTCAAAATTCAACCTATGACTGTCTCACTGAGCAAATTGTTGGCCTTCTGATTATCAGTCATACATATCTACCTAATCTGATTAAATGTCCAAAATAGTCTGAGGAGAACTGGAAGTGGTGGCATGTGCCTGTAATCCCAGCATTCAGGAGAGTGAGGCAAGGGAATCAGGACCAGCCTGGACTGCACTTGAGAGGGAAGGAGAAAGATAAGGAAATAGCTTGAAGAATCCCTTGCGGTTGGGCAAAAAAAATGGGTTAGCATTTCCAAAGAGCTAGTGAGTTTTTGATTCAGTTTTATTGACTGCAAAGACAGCCAGGCACTTAATATGTTTAGTTCCTAGTGAAGATCTAGAACTCAGTCTGCAAGGATTAATAGATTGTGTCTGGACTGACACCATCTTTTAAATAGCCATTTAGGCTATTAATATTAGTTCATCTTAATATTAGCCATTACTAACATTTTCAAACTTGTTTTTAGTATTGCTTTTATTATTATGTGTATTTGTGTGTGTCTCTGTGTAGCTATGTGCAAGGGAGTACGGATGTCCTCGGAAGCCAGAAGCATCTGATCTTCTAGAACTAGGGTTACAGAATGTTATGATCTGGGTGCTGGGAACTGGACTCTCTCTCTGCAAGAGTAGCATGTGTTCTTAACCACTGAGCCATCTCTCTAGCATCAAAGTGGCTAACTTGCTGGGCTTCCCTTGCAGCTGTCAGTCTCAGTCAATAGTAAGAAGAGGCCATAACTATACAAATGAGTGATAACAGGTAAGTCAGGCCCATGAAGCCCCACAGTCAATGATCCAGTGAGTTTGGAACAGTCCAAATAGCCAGGGTAGTGTTTTCAAATGACTCTAGGCTAACACTGAGAACTAGAAAAATACCTCTTTTGCACAAAAGAGCAGCATTCATTTACAAACTACTAGTGGCCCAGGCTATATCTGGGAAAGAGAACAGATCATACAGTGGAGGTGGAACATGGATGACCCAACATGCAGAGAGATCAGTGCTCTGACACAAACATGGATAATAGGAGCCTAGGTCTGGGGCAAGTCTCAATGGATGTGAGCTGGAGAAGACTTGGAGTGAGTCCCACTTACCCGATTATTTCCAGTCTGATCCTTATAGTAAATCCAGTTCAGGCGTTCATCAGTCCTGTACTGCACGCTGTACTTGGTCATCCACTCATCTATGTCACAGCGTCCTTGGGTAAGGATCCCCGAAATCACCTTTATCTCCTTCAAGTCTATCTGTAGCCACTGGCTACTGTCCTGATACTTGGAAAGCCAAGCGCACCTGCCGGGAACACACCAAATTACCAGGAACCATCCTCTATAAATGTCTGCAAAAAAGCCCACAGGTGCCGGATTTTGAGGGGTTACTAGCACCAAGAGGTCATGCCAACTCTGGGAATCCTCAGATCTTATCCTTAGGAAAGACTTCCCTGGCATGTTTAATTGATGAGGTCTTTCCCAACAGTGGTCATCCCTTAAGCTCAGTGGGTGTGCAGAGATGGGCTTAGAGTTCTGTCTCCCCTCTTCACTGTGTGCCTCCAGTGTCAAGGAACTCACCCATCCTGCCACCACTGTGCTCACAGTCCTTGGCACAACAAGGCACTCAGTCAAGGTTTGTTGAATAAGTGCTTTCTCTGCCATCCGTTTATGAGACAGACCTAATTTCTCATCTTTAAGAAAAAAAAAGGAAAGAATGACTCCACCTGGGCTGCCTGCCCTACTTACCCGAAGCCTTGACTGTTGAGCCGGGCCTTGTTTGCTGTCCATGAGGAATACCAGCCCACGTACTGCTCTGGGTTGGAGCAGGTGATCTGATCTGGTGTGACCTCCCCTGACTCGAAACCCAGGGGCTTGTGATATGGGCATTCTGAGGAGGAAAGACAACACACACTCAAACACCCAAATAGTGGAGTGGCATGTGTATGTGTGGAGTCCCGGGTCCTCTGGTCTGCCCTGAGAAAGTATGGAGATCCCATCTCAAAATCCAAAAGAAGGTATGAACCCCTTATCCCAGAACTCCAACAGGAAATGGCTTAAAGAACAAAGCAGAAATGTTGGCACTTCGCAAGTGGAGGACATTTCATTTCTCAGCATGGTACTGGATGCAGAGAGCTGGACCTGCTTCTATTAAGTGCTGACATGGAATGACAGTGAACTGAAGTAGATGATTTGCCATAGAGACATTCACTCAACATCCATAAAAGCAGGTGGGGGGGAGAGGAGCTGGTTCTATGGCAACCTCATGGGGGTGTGTGAGAAAAGCATCGCCTCCCTCATCAACTTAGAGACCTAAATGCCAAGAGGTGCTCAGTGAAATAGCATATTGAAATGCCAGGCATCCAGCTTTAGTTCCCTCATTATCACAGGTTGAACTGTGCTGCATAAGAACATTAGGGTCTCTAATTGTTCTTGAGCAGCAGATGAAGCCAATTACAGGAAGAAAACAATGGTGAGCGACAAAAATGGCAATTATATACTGAGACTGACTTCTTACTTGTAAATTGTCATTTTCTCGATATCTGAAGGAAAATAACGGATGACAATGAACAGGCAACAGCTGAAGGGGACTACTTTGTTCCAAACGGGGACAGCCAAAGTGGTCCTTATAGGCTAGTTGCCTGCTACTAGTCCCTTCTCTTTGTAAGTAAGTCCTCACATTAAAACCGGCATGGGAGCCGGGCGGTGGTGGCGCACGCCTTTAATCCCAGCACTCGGGAGGCAGAGCCAGGCGGATCTCTGTGAGTTCGAGACCAGCCCGGTCTACAGAGCGAGATCCAGGAAAGGTGCAAAGCTACACAGAGAAACCCTGTCTCGAAAAACCAAAAAAAAAAAAAAAAAAAAAAAAACAAAAAAAAAAAAAAAACTAAAAAACCAAAAAAAACGGCATTGGGTTACCTTGCCAATTGACAACCAAGCATCTATTCTCCCTTTTGTTTTGACAAAAACAAAACAGTGTTATCAAAGGCAGCAATATCACTTGTTTAATAAATAAACAAAATAAATAAATAAATCGATGAAACACATACACACATTTTGAAGCCTTTTCCAAAGTTTTTCGAAATTAGGAGTGACTGACTGCATGACGTAATGTCTGATATAAGAGATTGTCTGTAAAAGTTGTCTGATCAAGTTTTCTCTTTGTCCCCTTTTTGTTTCTGTTGCCTAGACAGAAGGAAGTCACGATAGCAGGTGCCACTGCAGGTCACTTGCACTCTGGGGGAGCCTGCAGGATCCTTAGGCCTGCTATCCTTAGGTAACTCTCTAACCCCTAGTCCTTTTACAGCATAAGCTACTTACGTAGGCAACCTCTTACTGGAATCCTAATCCAGGTCCTAACTGAAATCCTATAGAAAACCAAAGATAACTTTATATACATCCATTCACCTAGTCTTCTACTTGAGAATGATAAATTCCAAATAAGGCAAATGAAATTATGTTCTCCATGTGTAAATCTATGTTTAAGCAAAAGATGTGTATTTGCTGTGGCATCATCACCTGGAACCTTAACTAACAGGAAATGTTTGAGTCTTCTTTGGGGATGAGCTTCCCAAATTCAGTAAAACAGGCTGGACTAGTAGATCGGTGGTAGTTGTGTTTTCGTAGCATGCACAAGGTTCCATCTCCAACACACACACACACACACACACACACACACACACACACACACACACACACACACACACACACACACACCTTCAGAAATCGCCATACCCTGTCCTAGGATGCCATAGCAGAATAGCTGCAGATTTCAGGCCGGGATAGCTCAGCTTCCTTTCTACCTGTATGTACATCTCAGCGGGGCCAGGGCTAATGGGACAGCATTTGTAGTTTATCAAGTACTCAAGGCCTTGGAGTCTATTAAAATCATGCCAGTTTTCGGGAGAGAGGCTCGGTGCTTTTATGAGCCACTCAATCACACCTGGTGTGGCCGAATCATTAGGGGAGCTTATTAGGAATGCAGTGTCTAGGACTCCACTCCTGGAGTGGAGTATTTTTAACAAGCATACTTTCCAAGTGCATTTTAAAAGCTTTCACCTGCCAGGGAAGGCATTTTGTGGGCTGGTGGATTGAGAGAGCTAAACACCCAGCCCCTAACATCCCTCCAGCCTGCAAGACAGGGTCAAGCTACCAGAAGGTGGGAAAAGATCCCAATGGCAGAAAACAGGGTTTTAATGGGCCTTCTTCACCTGTCACTTAACTTGTTTGGTTTGGTTTGAAGGGACAAGGTCTCGTGTAGCCCAGGCTGGCCTCAACCTCACTAGGAACACTTGCTATGTAGTAAAGTCTGGCCTTGGTCTTCCTGCCGTCACCTCCAAATGCTGAGATTATAGGTATACACCCACCCGCCTCCTCAGGTTCTTTCATTTGTCAGGATTTTTTTGTTTGTCTGTTTGCCATGAAGGCAAATTTGCCAAGCACTTTACCAAATGAGCTACATTTGCAGCCTTACTCTGTCAAATTCTAACCAGTTATCTCTAAGTCAATTCTGCTTGGAACATCCAGTGGCCAAATTCCTTTGCTTTTTCACCCTTTCTCTTCAGGGCCAAGGGCTGGGAGGTGGGGGAGGGGGGACAGAAAAGGAGGAGACTTGGTAGCACTTTGTAGTCCCTGTTTGTGGCAGTTTGCTCCTTCCATTTGCTCTTTCCATTTTCATTGACTCTCTTGCTCTGTTTCCCACATCGCCCATGTGACAGGAATAAGCTAAAGACCTACAGAGGCAATGTCCTCCAGGACCTGGAAGGGCTGCTCCAGCTGCCAAGATTGAGTGGTTCACTTGTGCTCCAAAGACGTGTTTTGGAGGCCTGGGATACAGCTCAGTTGTTAGCTTACCTAGTCCTAGGTTCCATCCTAAGAGCCTGGGCATAGTTGGGCACGCCTGTATGGGAGTTAGAAGCAGGGGGACAGAGGAGTTTAAAGACATCCTTAGCTACATAGTGAGTTCAAGGCCAGCCTGGAATATCTGAGACCCTGTCTCAAAATAAATTTAAAAAGAAAGAGAGAGAAAGAGAAAAGAAAACAAGCAAATACAGACACAGTTATCTAGGCTGCATTCACTATCCAGGGCAAGTAACTGGGCTTCATGTGGTCTCCAGGATCCTATGCCCAACTGCTAGGCTCCAAGCCTTGTCTTGCTATCCCTTGAATAATGCCACTTGGATAGCCCAAAGAAGCTTGGTGTCCTTTATAATCCAAAGTGGCTCTGTGTCATCCTACTTCCTGTCTGGTCTCAGGCCTTGACATTTTTAATCCACAAAGCAAAGACTACAGACCAAGAGGGCTCAGGCTGGGCTGCACCTTCTAGTCACCCACGGAGCTTCAGGCATTCCAGTGCTCCAACACATTCCCATAGATTGTTGGCTGGGATTGGAGCGGAGTAGGGCCCCAGAGTCACAGGTGATTATAGTGAGCAGTCAAGAATAAGGAGGCCTGCCCAGTGCCAGCGCACTTAGTTCTTAACACCCTCTGAGCCTGTTTCCTCACCTGTGAATGAGCATCATAGTAATATTGGAGACACTTGGCAAAAGATAAAGTGAAATCATGTTTGGCAACTGTAGACTTTGAAGAGTACAGTGTCTAGGTAAAAAGAAGCAAGCTGTAATACTGGTTGGTGGTGTGGGGTAAATTCATGAAGCTAGATGGATTCTTTCTTGGCTTTGCATGTTTTTCTTTGGACTTACCATGGCAGAAATCCAACACCCCTGTGCTTGTCTGTCCTCCCCCCCCCACCTACCCAACTGGCAGCATCTTTCAGGATTAGGGAGTTGAATGATGAGGTCACAGCCTCAGCTAAGGCCAAAGGGACCTTAGGGAGGCCTGAGTTCACTGGAGACATGGTTCCACTGAGGAATGGGACCAAGGGTGAGCCAGCCCTCTGGACACCCCCAGGAAACCATGTAGAGATTCTAAGGAAGTGTGGCCTAGAGAGAGGTTCCACCATAACCAGCTGTGCACTTCCTGTGTACCTCACCACCAGGCAGTTGTTGCAACCTTCAAAGGGCAGATCCCCAGCCTGAACCCCTGGATTTCTTAGGTTTTTGCATGCCCCCACCCTGCTATACCCCATCCTCAGGAGGCCAAGCCAACCTGTGGAAAAGGAAGAATTGGTATTTGTAATAGTTTCACCTGAAACTACAGGTCCTTGGCCTTATGGTCTGTGGGTGGAGCCCCTAGACTTTAACCTAAGTACCCCTGTGGGATCTCTGGGCATCTCTGAGTGACAGCACCCATGCTTCTGTGCTTTCTAGGATCTTCCCTCCTAAGGCAGGCCCTGATGGAAGCACTCAATATCAAGATCCAGACAAAGTCGTGTTCTTGGCATTCCACGAGAAACTGAAACAGTGACCAACAAATGACTTCTGGAAGCTTGAGACTAGTCCTGCTGCCTTGAATCTTTTCAGTCACAGAACAGCCAGTTAACAGTGAACAACTCTTTCACACTGATGTGGTTTTTTTCTTCCTCCCTGAAGTATCTTTGTTGTTAAAAAATAAACACTATAAAGAGAGCACTTATGCTAAGATACAGTATCATGTTAGAACCTCAAGTTCATGGCAACTCCATAAGGGACCAAATAGCCAAAGCAGGACCTTCTCAGCTCCTCAGTTGATTGACTTAATAAAGCCGATCTCCATAAACAGACCCTGTCCAATTTCTTTTCTGGTTTTTTTCTTCTGTATTTTTAATATATTTATTTATTTGGGGGGGGGCAGGAGGGAGAGTGCACCACAGCACACATGTGGAAATCAGTGCATATGTGGAGGTCAGAGGACAACTTGAAGCAGTCTCCCTCTCCTTCCATCGTGTAAGTCCGGTCAGCAGGCACCTTAGCCACTGGTCCTCTTCATTTATTTCTGACAGTGTCTTACGTAATCCAGGCTGCCTTCAAACTCCCTCTGTAGCACTGAGTGTGATCTTGAAGTAACAGTCCTCCTGCCTCCACCTCCAGAGTGCTGGGATCATGAGCCCAAAGATGGAACCCGGGGCTCTGCATGTGCTAGGCAGGCACTCTGACAACAGAGCTACATCCCCAGCCCTCTGCCTACTTTCCAAGAAGCTTCTTAAGAGTGAAATTCCATTAGATCTCATGTCTCTACAGATGGTAGGCTCAAAATGGAGAGGTCAGTCCCAACGAGAAAGTAAGAGTGCTGACAGCAGCGTGTGTGTGTGTGTGTGTGTGTGTGTGTGTGTGTGTGTGTGTGTGACAGTCAGGCTGACCAGATAAGAGAAGGAAGGGGCAGGGTTCTGAGGGAAACAACAGGCTCCAGCCAGCTTCCAGCAAAAGCTCTTTCCTGAGTCAGCTTCTCACTTTATGGGTGGTTATACTTTTATACATATTACTGCATCTAAGTGTAGCAGACTGAACTCTTTATTGCAGGAAAAGGACTACCTCACGCTGCCCCCAAGGGTTGGCAAGGGCAAGAAAATGGTAGACCCAGACTTAGAAGACTAGACAATAGAAACAGCCCTTTGTCACCGCAGGAGGTTCTGGAGGGTGGACTCCCTTTCTGCTTTGCTTCCTCACCCTCTAACATCCTTTGGCTTGCTAGTGACCACTGGCACCTTTATCTGTGCCCCAGTGTGATTCTCCCCCTTCGGGCGCAAGAATGGAGAGTGCTGCGGCAGGTGGGGTTAGTCAAGTGCTACTCAACCTGTGGGTCTCAACCCATCTGGGGAATCAAACAACCCTTTCACGGGGTCGCATATCAGATGTTTACATTCTGATTCAGAGCAGTAGCAAAATTACAGTTTGGAAGTAGCAACGAAAATAATGTTATGGTTGGGGGGGTGGTCACCACAACGTGAGGAACCGTATTAAAGGGTTGCAGCATTAGGAGGGTTGAGAACCACTGGATTAGAGGATCATCCATCAGGAGGAGGCATATCTCCCCATTCACAGCAGAAAAGAATATCCATTTCCACCAAATGGTAAATCTCACCATGGTGGAGCCAAAGCCTTGGTTCCTGGCTTCCTATCAGTGCCCAGCACACAGTAGGTGTGTGGTTAAAGTCATTGGCCAGATAGAGAAGGTCCTTTAAGCCTGGGCAGATCACAACAACATTCAACAGCTGCAGGAGTCCCTGCCACCAAACATAATGGGACAACATCCCTGAGGAAAATCCCAGTTTCACTGAACAGCCTTCCTGTCCCCCAGTTCCCCTTCCTGACCTCACAGTTCTCTGTAGAGACTAAGTTTCTGTTGAGAAAACCAGATGGAAGGGCACTGTCATAACCAGAAGAGGGATGGCCAGGCCAGCTTCATGCACAATTGGCCCTGGGCCATGGAAAGGATTAAGCCTTGCAAATATTTGCAGGGACAGTGCAAGCCTCTGCAAGTCTGCCCTAATTTCTCAGTGTGAACTCCTAGGAGGCAACAAAACAAAAGAACCAATGTCTATTAAAGGCTGCAGTTGGCCAAGTTCAACACAATGATGCCTTGTCCTATTTATTCCTCCTAACAGCCCCACAGAGCAGAGTCACCAAACTGTAACCTCTAAACCAAGTTTGACTCATCACCCATTTGTTAGTGACAGTGTCTCACTATTGAAGCCCAGGCTGGTCTCAAACTCATGACCCTCCTGCCTCTGCCTCCCAAGTGCTGGGATCACAGGCTTGTACCACCATGCCTGGGTTCACCACTGTCTGCTTTATTATAAAATGTTATTGGGACACAGCCATGCTTATGTGTTTACATAATGCCTGTGGCTACTTCCAAACCCACAATGGCAGAATTAAGTGTCAGCCAGGACCATACCATTTGTAGAGCCCCTCTATTTTAGCTGAACTCTGACAATCCATGAAACAATAGTAATTTGGTTTCTAGAACTGAAGCAACCTGTTTTTCCAGATTCTTACTCTCCCTACTGTCATAGCTAATTTGGAGACAGCCTGATTCCAAGTACATACAATGGACTACTCATCAATCACAGGACATAGAACCCGCCCCTTCCTCTGATACCCATAAGACGAGGACTCCCCCAACTCTGAGTTATTTTCAGATTGCATTGACAGTTGGGTCTCACCTGACCATCTCAGGCAAGCCAGGAAGGGAAGGAGCATGTTGAAGCAGGGGCCAGTGTGAGATTCGAAGCTGACAAGTGAGCATGAGAGAAAACACAAGCAGAGCAGAGGGACTGGGTTCGGGGAGGAGGAACGCTCAGGTGCTGAGCCACTCACCTGGAATGCAGTCTAAAGAGGCAGCTCCCGCCGACCACAGAGCATTGGCCCCTCCCTGACAATCACACTTGCATGCTTTGTGGTACCAGGGGTCCTCGACCTCATCCTGCAGATAGCCAGAGTGGCACAAGTCACAAACGTCATAGTCAAAGACAAATGGCCAGTGCACCACAAGAAGTTTGTTTGCAAAGGTCAGACTCACTCCTGACAGTGTGTGCCTCTGAACACACACAGTGGCCACTCATCTTTGATTCTGTGTTACTTGGGTTGTGGCTGCTGCTGCTGTTTTTAGACAGGGTCTCTCTCATGTATCACAGGCTGACTTTAAACTCACTACATAGCAGAAGATGACCTTGAACTCCCGATCCTCCTATCTCTACCTGTGAGTGCTGGGTTTATAGATGGATGCCTTGTCCAGTTTATATGGTGCTTAGGATCAAGTCAAGACCTTCTTCATGCATGCTAAGCAAACATTCTACCAACTAAGGTACACCCCAGCTCTATATTACTTTTTTTAAATGTGTTTGTGCATGTGTACATGTTCAGGTGCACGTGTGCTTGGATATTCATATGTGTGGTGGCTAGAGAACACCTTTGGGTGTCTTTCTCAGGAATTCCATCTGCTGTCCTTGCCAGGCGGTGGTGGTGCACGCCTTTAATCCCAGCACTCGGGAGGCAGAGCCAGGCGGATCTCTGTGAGTTCGAGGCCAGCCTGGGCTACCAAGTGAGTTTCAGGAAAGGCGCAAAGCTACACAGAGAAACCCTGTCTCGAAAAACAAAAAAAACAAAAAAACAAAAAAAAAAGGAACAATAACAACAGCAAAACAGAGGCCAACCCAACTGGGTATGGTATCTGTGCTACATAGAAAAATCCTATCCCAAGAACAAAGAAGCCCCCCAATCTTACTAGGGGTGTAACTAAGTGTTAAATCATTGCCTAGCATGAGCAAAGGTACCTAAAATAGGTCTGGGTGGGTGTTTTTTTTAGATTTTTGGGTTTGTTTTTGTTTTTATTTCCTTGAAATAGGTTCTCACATATTCCAGGCTGGCCTTGAACTCTCTCTGTAGTCAAAGAAGACCTTGACACCCCACTTCTACCTCTAGAGTTCTGGGATTACAGACATGTACCACCACATCCAGTTTAATGTAGTACTGGACCATGGATGCTAGAGAAGCACTCTGACACCTGAGTTATGCTCCTCACTGCTCCCCCACCCTCACCCTTCCTTCCTTCCTTTCTTTTCCTTTTTTCTTTTCTCTTCTTTCTTTATTCTTCTCTTTTCTATTTTCTTTTTGAGTCAGGGTCTCACTTTGTAGCCCAGGCTGGCCAGGAACCCAATGTGTAACCAGGCTAGCCTTGAGTGTCTCTGATCACTGAGTGCTGAATGATAGGCCTAATCTCAGTCTAAAACTTTTTAAAAAATACCTTTGAAAAGGGGCTGGAAAGATGCCTCTGAGGGTAAGAGGATTCGGCTGTGCAAATATGAGGACAACCTGAGTTCAAATATGCAGCCCCCAGGTAGAAAGCTGGGTGTGGCTGCATATGCCTGTAGCTCCATTTAGGGGATAGAGGCAGGTGATTTAGGTAGCTCATGGCCAGCCCACCCAGCCAAAAAAGAAAGCTTCCAGTTTAGTGAGAGCACCTGTCTCAAGGTAATGAGGGCTAGAACAATAGAGGACGACATCCAAAGTCTTCCCCTCACCTTCAAATGCATGTGCACAGGTGTGCACACCTTTACAGTCATGTACACACCCCTCACACCCCACACACAAAATAATATACATTTGAAAAAACCTCCCAGGCTTCAGGTGTATGTAGCTCAATGCAAATCACTTTCTTAGCATGCACAAGGCCCTAGGTTTCACCCCCGCACTCTCTCCCAAATAGTGCTGGACTCATCCATTAGTTTTACTTCAAAGGCAATAATGATGATGGAAAATCCAGCCTCTTTACTGTAACATACCTCTGTCGATGATAATCCCAATGTGGCTGAGCAAAAGAACAGGAGAAGAAAAATGAAATTAAGGAAAGAAAGATAGAAATTCCACAGAATCATTAATTGCATGGAAAAGCAAAATGAAAACAACACCATGAAAGGTTAGAAGCTCATTCTGGTTGAGGGCACGTCCACCAGAAGAAACTTCCACAGATGCTGGGAGATGAGGTAAGAAAAGGAGGGCAATTATTATTGTCGTTCCTTGTAGAATTATGGAAAATACATCAATAAAGCAGGACACGATAGACCTTTCTTCTGTAAACCACACTTGTTTATTTGTTTGTTTATTAATGTATTTATGTGTAGGGGAGTAAGGGGACCTTTGCACCGGTGTAAAGATGGGAAAACTTGCAGAAGGCTGCTTCTCTCCTACTGCCGTGTGGATTCCAAGGACTACACTCTGCCCATCGGCCTTGGCCTTACCTGCAGAGCCGTCTAAGAGCCCCAGCACACCTTATTTCTCATGGCCATTGTCAACACCATTAGTATCCCAATATACAGCTCTCCAGTCCCCTCTTTTCTGTCAGAAAAGCCTTTTTAAATTTGTTTTTATTTTTAAGATGATAATACAATTACATCATTTCTCCCTTCCCTTTCCTCTCTTCAAACCCTCTCATATACCCCTCCCCACTCTCCTTCAAATTCATGGTCTCTTTTTCACTAATTGTTATTGTGTGCATAGATGTGTATATATACATATACATTCCTAAATATAACCAACCTGTTTGCTCTGTATGATGTTATTCATATGTATGCTTTCAGGGCCGACTGTTTGACACTGGACTGCTCTTCCCTGGGGCAGGCCACCTTGCTCACTCCTCAGCTGCCTCCAGTCAGTTTTGTTTGCTTGGTTTGTTTTGTGGAACCCAGAGCCTGGAACATGCTAAGCCTCCAATCTACCACTGAATTACATCCCCATCCCCTTCAGCCACCCTCCTCCTCCTCTTCCTCCTTCTCCCTCTCTTCATTCATTTTTTTGAAAGACGGAGTCGCATGTATCACGTGGCATGACTTACCTCCAATTTGCTCTTTTGCCAAGAATGACATTGCAATCTTGATCTTCTTGCTTCCACCCTCCCTTTGCTTGGATTAAAGGCATGCACCCCCAGACCTGGTTTATGTGGTCCTGGAGATTTAATTCATTCAAGCTAGGCAAGCATTCTACCAACTGAACTACATCCCCAGCCCTTCAGACAGTTTTCTGTGTGCATTTTAAAACATACATTTGGTGTCGGGAATTAAACGGTGAATCAGAATCAACACGGTCTCAGGAGACATATGGGACAGGAGGAAATTTTGATTCTTCTTCTTTAGTGGTATAGACCTGTCATTGAACAAAATGATCTGCATTTGCTCCTTTCTCACTGTTGTGACAAAACTCCTGTAGAAAGCGCCTTAAGGAAAGCTTTCTTTGGGCTAATAGTTCGAGGGTGCAGTTTATCATGGCACACAAGGTGTAGTGGTGGTAAGAGCAGCAGAGCTGTGGTAGCAGGATCCTGAGGCAGCTGGTCACCCCATATACCACAGACACTTGCACACCCACTTTTATTGAGCACTAGTTACAGTATTCACGATATGGAACCAGTCTAAATGGCTATCAACAAAGAAATGGAGAAAGAAAATGTGGCATGTATGCACAATAAATAATGAAGTTACATCATTAAAAAATACATTGGGGAGTTTACTCTCTAAACCAGTGGTTCTCAACCTTCCTAATGCTGCGACCCTTTGATACACTTCCCCATGTTGTGGTGACCCCAACCATAAAATTATTTTTGTTGCTACTTCATAACTAATTTAGCTACTGTCATGATGTAAATATCTGTGTTTTCTGATGGTCTTAGGTGACCGCTGTGAAAGGTTTGTTCAACTCCCAAAGGGATCACGATCCACAGGTTGAGAACCTCTTCTCTATTTCCCTTTTCTTTTTACCTTTTTCTTTTACTGATTAAGTCTTCCTCCTCCACCTTTGTCTCCTCCTCCTCCTCCTCTTCCTCCTCCTCCTCCTTCTCCTCCTCCTCTTGCTGCTGCCTTTCCTCCCCTCCACCTCCTCCTCCCTCCAGTGTCTGCCTAAACAGACTACCCAGGGATTGATTCCCAGTTCCCTCACTGTGCCACATTCATGTTAAGAAAAGTCTGGCGTGGTGGCACATGACTGTAATCTCAGCACTCCAAGAGGAAGAGGCAGGAGGCTCTGGGGTCTAAAGTCATCTTCAGCTGCATGGTAGGTAAGTCTGAGGCAAGCCTGGGACACAGGAGACCCTGTCTCATTGAAAAAGGAAGTTGAAAACCAGCCTGCTCTACCTACCAAAATCCTGTCTCATAAACAAACAACTGGGAGCAGAATTAAGAACACTGGGCCGGGCGGTGGTGGCGCACGCCTTTAATCCCAGCACTCGGGAGGCAGAGCCAGGCGGATCTCTGTGAGTTCGAGGCCAGCCTGGGCTACCAAGTGAGTTCCAGGAAAAGGCGCAAAGCTACACAGAGAAACCCTGTCTCGAAAAACCAAAAAAAAAAGAAAAAAAAAAAAAAGAACACTGGGCACTCTTCCAGAGGACCCAGGTTCAATTCCCAGCACCCACATGGTGGCTCACAACCATCTATAACTTGTCCCAGGAGACCCTATGCCCTCTTCTGGCCTCTGAGTGTACCAGGCACATAAGTGGCACACAGACATACATTCAGACAAAACACCTACACACATAAAAAAAATAAGTAAAACAACAACCAAATGGTTATTTTGGGTTGGGCTATTAGAAGGTCTTCTTGAGGTTTGTCTATAGTATACAAGAGATACTAAACCAAATAAAATATGAATTCCATACAAGTAATCTGGGGACATGGAAAGTGCGAATTTAGCAAGAACAGGTTTGAGTCCTTCAGCTATGGGGGCTAAAGTAAACTGTAAGCATTAGCATCCCTCCCCAGCCATCCTCTCTGAGACAGGGTCTCACTATGTAGCCATGGCAAACTTGGAACTCATTGTGTAGACCAAGCTGCCCTTGAACTCACAGAGCTCTCTCTGTCTCTATCTCTGAAGTGCTGGGATTAATGGCATGCACCAACACACCTAGCTAGCCCCATACATTTTTTTTGGCCCTCCTCCTTCACTCCCTTCTCATACTTTCTGCTCCCCTCATACCCCTGGTCCCCTTACTACCCTCCAATAACTAACTCCTCTTCTGCTTTCCTGTCACATATATACTGTTATCTGGTGGGACCCCAGCTGGGAGACTGGCTCCCACATTTTACCTCAGGGTACTCTTGAGGAGAGAGGGATAGGAGATTTAGATAGAAGGATAGAGGATAGAGAAACAGAAACACAGGATAGCCTCGGGAGGGCCTGGGTCCTTATCCTTCCTGTCTCTTCTAAAGAGCTATTTATAGAAATGCCAAGGGGTGGAGCAAAAGACCTCCCCCTAGCACAGCCAAGTGTAGACCCTTCCAATCACCTAGAAACCATGCACATAGTCAAGCAATCCTCTAATGCAGCTCTGGTGGGTAAGGCAAGCTCAGCTCTCACTAGGAAACCTTTGTGGGCCTCTACATTATCCCCATCCAATATCTCTCTTTTTCTTCTCAGCCTTTCCTATGAAAGAAGACATGCAGTATTTGTCTTTCTGAGTCTGACTTACTTTGCTTAACATAATGATTTCCAGTTCCATTCATTTTCTTGTAAATGTCATGGTTTCACTTTGAGACAGGATCTCACTATAGCCATGGCTGTCCTGGAACTAGTTTTGTAGACCAGACTGGCCTCAAACTCACAGAGATCCAACTGCCTCTGCCTCCCAAGTGCTGGGATTAAAGTCATGCACCACCTACTTGTATATGGTTTCTCTGTCACAGGTTGACTTAGAATCCCTTGGGTAAAAGGAGTGGTAGACCTGGATCATATTGTAGTTCTAGTTTAAGGGTTTATTTGGGGGGGGGGACCTCTACACTGATTTCTATAGTAGCTACACCAGTTTACACAGCCACCAACAGTGAATAAGTGTTCTTCCCCCACTCAACTTAATAAGTAAATTTGCATGCTTGTGTGTGTTCCTGTATGTACTGTGCATGTGCCTGTGAACGTAAAGGATAGCTTCAGATGTTCCTCAGGAGCCATCTACTTTTTATATTTTTTGAGATACGTTCCCTTGGTGGTCTGGAAATGGACATATAGGCTGGGTTAGCTGTTCAGTAAGCCCCAGGGAGCCTTCTGTCTCCTCTTCCACACTGTGCCCAGATTTCTTATTTGACTTCTGGGGATTGAACAGAGATCTTCATACTTGCATGTCAGGAACTTTGTCAGCTGAGCTCTCTCATCAGCCTAAATTTGCATGCTTTTATTAATCTGTCATTTGTCATAAGAAGTCTCAGCCATGAACCTTAGAAGGAATAAGTAAAATATGTTCATTTTCTCCTCGTTGGTGCCAAAGCCCCACTTCTTTTCAACAAAACAAATCCCTTTATTTCTGTTCTGACTAGAAAACAATACATACCTACTGTAAAATTAAAAAACAACCCTGAGTGTAGACAGTGGGAACTAGACACTCCTCCATTATCCTCTTTGCTATTTAACAACAGAATCTGATGTCTATGGAAAACTTAGAGCTTGAGAGTAGACACTCATTTTTTTCATCATGTTTATAAAAGCTACCAGTTAACGAATACGTAGTTTCTTGTTCTGTGGTCACATTGGTGCACTCACTGTGAGTCTGGCACTGAAGCATCATAAGTTTGCTACAGTGGAACAAGGTCCTAGAAGAGCTAGCAATGTGGTGGCTGCAGTGAAGCTGCTGGCCTTGAATCTTACTGGATTCAAGATTTCCATTACAACCTCAGCATCAAAGCACACACCATGGGCAGTGCCCTATGGTGTATCTCCTTCCAGGTCTTCAAGTCCTCCACTGTTAGTCACCTGGTACAGGCAGAATTGACCCTCTAGGGTAGCAGTGGAAGTGGAGGAACGCCATTTTTTGTTGTTTCTGTGTTGGGTTTTTTGATG